CATTAAACACTAGTGAACACAGGAGCCGTAGAGATGGCTCGGTGGTTATGATACTGCAGAATCATAAGGACTGGGATTCAGATCCCGTCACTCACAAATATCAGTTAGGACTTTTCTATGGGATAAGGTATTCTTCTAGTAGGAGAGTTTTGGTGCCGTTTGTATTGCTAGTTGTATTAGGAATATTTCTTAAGATGAGCCTCTCTGCCAATGCAAATAATTCCAATCAGACCAAATAAAGGATGCCCATGTTTAAAGCAGTACCCCTGGGTGGCACCGAGAAAGCATGGCGAGGGGAAGAGAGAGAAGGGAAGACCACATGTTCATTCTCTGCGGGGGGGGGGGCAGCCTAAATAGCCTGTGGGAGTGGTCCTGCCCCTCCCTGGGGAGGGGCCACTGCTTGGCAGACTTTCCCAGAGGTGGAGTTCTGACGAAGGCAACTCCCAGGGGAGGGGGCTTGAAATGGATGTCAGGGGCTGGGGTGACGCTTCCAACCAAATGTCCCCGAATCCTTGGATATAGGGGTGTCAGGGGGCTGGGGTCTCACTTCCAACCAAGCATGTTGTGTCATCTGTCTTTCTTTAACTAAATTGTTTCTCTGAGAGGACACACCTACTGACTTGTCTTCTATATGGTATATAACTTAACAGGGCCCAATAAACCTTCAGTTGAGTCTCCCAAATATAATTGAACATCACAATAAATAAAGAAGATAAAGGAGACTATTTTAAAACAGAGTCAAGTGGAGACAGAAAAAGAAAATGACAACAGTTTTTTTTTAAAAAATTGCAGCTTTAGGAAGTTAGATTTGAAAAAAAAATCCCACATATTAAAAATGTAAGCTTTAGGCTCCCTGTCAACTTTTCTGTCTAGAGAGGACAGTTCTCCCTAGCATGGATTATGTAGGCTGTCTAAACATAGGTAAACCATGCTCCTGACAGGGAGGGCCCAGAGGCCACAGACCCCCTATCCTGGAGCTGAAATCCTTTGAACTCAGAGGAGCAAGCCCAAGGTAAGACTCCAGAGAGAAAACTGGACCAGAGATCCCATGCAGAAGATGAATGTTCCGTGTGGACTTCCGTGGCTGAGACACATAGGGACAGGTTAGCAACCCGGAACACCGCTTGGTCTGGGTCATGCACACATACGTCCTTCTTATGATACACTTGGCTTGATTTGGGCTATGCACACATGCATCCTTTTTACGATACACTTGGCAGCCCATGATCCTTTCCTGGCTGCACTATGATGCATACCTTTTCCAAAAGTGTCCAGTAGCCCGGTAGCAACCTCAGACCCTCATCTACACTAAGCTTCAGGCACACCTTACTGTGAAAAATGTAATACATTTTTCTTTTTTTTAACCACCACGAAATGAAGAGAGATTCTGTTCAGTCATACACATTTATGACCAGACTCTAAGGTGTGTGTGTGTGTGTGTGTGTGTGTGTGTAGGGGATACCAGCCTGAACTAGTTTTGGATGGATGTGCAGTAAGGCAAGCTGTGTCCTCCAGGAGAATTTTGGGAGAATCCCGTATTAGTCATTCTCCATCTATGAATAGTGAGTATGCACACGAATGCAACCAGAAGGGAAGGATGGTCTGACAGTGAGAAAGGCTACGTCATTCAAGTCTGTCAATCAAAACAGAGACCCACCGCACTAAAATCTCTTGAACCTCAGGAAAGAAAACCTAGACAGTAATTGGGACCCTTGAGTATCCCCACCAATGTGACCTGCTGTCCCTCTTGACAACATACCTGGTGTTTTGGTTTGTTTTTTATTTGTCGTTTTTTTGTTTGTTTGTTTTTTTTGAGCTACACTGTTGCTTCTTCTTGCTTCTCTCTGGTTTGTTCTGTTGCTTCCCTTTGAATCACAGTTCCTGGCTGCTGTTGCCAACTGTGTCCATGCACCCTGAGGTCCCTTCCTTGAATTAGAGCCAAGAGCCTGGAAACGCCTGGCTGAGACCCAGCCGCCCAACATTTCCACCCACATGGTAGCTGCTCTCTGTGTCTGATAGAAACAAGGAACTTGAGACCCAAAGGAGCTGCATCCTTAGCGCCTTTTGAGTTTTGGAGGAAGCCACTAAAATTCACCCTCTTTATCACGCTACAGCTTTTATATTTTTTGTAGACTTCTAAAGTATTTGTGGCTTGCTTCCTTAAGCACAAGAAAGTCATGTCTTGCCAAGGTTTGCAGTGTGGGGGATTTTAAAGGAAGATATTAATATTACATTTCCCCCTGTGTCTGACTTCATGTGGTTGGAAATCATATTTCTTTTTTTAGTAATTTAGTCTGTACCTGAAGTCTAGGCATAGGTACAAAGGGCAGGACGGCTTTTGAAAGCTCTACTGTACTGAGATCCTGCTGGCTGGGCGGCAAATGAAGGGGGTGGTTTTGGATGGCAGGCCCTCCTGGAAGGAGGCCCGGCTGTGCTTGGCTCCATTGTGATGTTTTCATCTGAGGTGCTGGCGTGAGACTTCACTGATGTTTTCTCTATCGCTGTTTCTAAAAGGCCAAGGTTGGACAAGGGTCAACGCTCGCACAAAGCTGGCGTTAGAAGCCATGCGGTACCCGGGTGCTTTTGTTTGTGCAAAGGTGCAGCCTTTCCACTGCAGCAACCGTAGCTAGCGTGCCTGCTATGTGAGCAGGACTTTGCTGGAGTAATTTTTGACTGATGGGGAATTCGGCAGTATCAGGAGACATATTTGACTACCATAATTAAGGATGCGGACACTATTAGCGTCGGATGTGCAGATGACAGGATGGCTGCAAAATATCTGGGAGCGCACAGGACAGCCCCTCGTCGCAGAGGATTAGCTGATTCAAAACGCAATCGTGCCAAGATTTCGAAGCTCCATTTTGTGTCTGAAGACAAGAAAGATTACGGTGCCAACTAGCACATTTCTGTCCGGACCCCAGCAGCACGAGAGAGGCTGTGAAAGCCACTGTTAGTCCCAACCCGAACCCTGCTGGGGTCGGAACCTGCACTTCCCTGAGATCTGCCAATGGCTTTGTACATGTGTGCTCCGTTTTGAGAAACAGAACTGACGTCTGTGACAGCTAGAAAGAGCAAGGCAGTGTGGCCTGAGGGTGACGCATCGAGAAGAGGACCCTGTCAGACTTAGCGGCATTTTGGTCCCCCCCCTTCTTTTCTTCCTTTTCTCTTCTTCACTTCCGGTCCTCCGTTCTTTCTTTTTCTCATCAAAGCTGGATTTGGTAGCTTCACCTCATCCATGCAACGTTTTCCCCAAGACCTTTAATTTAGAGGTTGTCATTGATACTAGGGTGAGAGGGAAGGTAATAGGTACTTTTGTAGTTAAAGGAAACCATCCTGAAGGGACTCTCTAAAATCTGATAGCCCAATTAAGTTTAGCCTTCTCCTGCACCAGATTGGGAAGGCAATAAAGCTAATATTAATCTAACCAATACTAATTTAATCCCGATTGAATTATTATTGAATCGAAATTAGTATTAAATACTAATTTGATCAAATACTAACATTAATACATATTTAATAAAAACCAGTGCACCGACACTCTTTACATACCTTTAGTCAGCATAGCTTTAAATAGGCTTTAAATAGGTTTAAATAGGCAATCCACAATTCTGACAACTCATTATACTGACATACCAGTAAAATTTTTGCAGAACTTAGCTAACATAATAGAACTGATTAAAAAGAAAATTGAATCTGCACATCATGCCAATGAACTTAAGATTCTGGAGTCCTTTGGATTTTTTTTTGGAAATTCCTTTATTTTAAGGCGCTTGCTTAAGAAAACGTGAGCTAAAACTTTAAATTGTTAAGAGAAATTTCAACTTGATGAACATTTACTAGGCAGACATTATCCATAAATGCTCCTCTAGAAATTGTGGACACTTAAAAAAGATTAAATTCTCTCTCTCTCTCTCTCTCTCTCTCTCTCTCTCTCTCTCTCTCTCTCTTTCTCTGTATGTGTGCTTGTTGTTGCACAGTTATAGATAAAAAAGTATGCAAAAGTTTACTCAAGGTCAGTCTATCTAAATAAATATCAATAAAAAGCTATGGGAGTTTATAGAGAAGTGTTCATAACATTACCTTAGAACATTTATTTTGAAATAAAATGATGACAATGTTTTACAGTCCCTAGAAAGCTGTGGTTTTCTCAATAACATTTCCATATTGGCTAACAATTACAACACTCATTTTCATGAACATTTAGCTATGGGGCTTGATAAACCTCAGAAACAGGAAATTTTTCTCATCCATATAACTGCTGCACTGGGGGTTTCTTCCTATCTTTGTCTTTGAACACATTTGGTCATTTATCAGAATTCCTTGCCTTTTCCCTTTAAAAGCTGGAGTTGTACCAAGGCGGAGATTTATCGCATGTGGATCTGGGTCATCTATGAAAGACAGAGACTGTGTAGTATTGAACACAACACTCCGGAAACAAAAATCTACTAGGCATTTTATCATTTGGATCGAATCAGACTTATCCTTCCTAGAAATGACCTTTAACATTGAACTTGCAGTCACTGTCCTGCAGACCTCCTCACCTGGCCTCTCCTGGGGCCTTCGTAAGGCTTCAGCCGTAACCTCCAGGCTTCTCCGGGATCGCGGTAGTTGCACGGAAGGAGAAACGCTGCTTCGAAGGACAAATGAGGAAGAGGGACGACTGTACTCCTAACCTATCCTATTGCACACAGACATCTGTGCCAAAAGTTACATCAGTATTTGGCTGGGTTCCTAAGGAAATTCAAATGAAAGGGAGTCATGCCAAAGCATTGTTCAATTAAGCAATTGCACTTCAAGGTTCCTCTTTAGAATAAGCTAGACGAAACAGGCCTTCTGTGGGTGTCTTTGGCCATGCCATACAGGAGATCGTTGCGGTGATCACAGTTTCATGCTCAGCACCAAGTGAAATAAGTCCCCTTCACTAATAATGCCTTTGCAAATAGGGCTGCAAAGGAATCACATGCTGGAAGACGCTGAGGACATGCATTTTGTTTTTCTAGGGGATCTTTTGTTTGGCTTCATGCCTCGACTCAAAAGTTCCTTTTGGAGGAAGGCAGTTCCTATTTGGATAAAGAAATCAGCTGCATCGGCCCGATTTGCTGTATCACTGATGTTCTGCCAGGACGTCTTAGTCGTAAAGGAATATAAAGACAGAGGCCCTTGTGCTGGAGACAGAAGGTAACAGTGGTAGAGGGTGCCGAGGGGAAGGTGTCTTCATGAGTCTTTCTAAGCTGAAATACTGAATGTGGAGATAACTTAGGGAAAATATGGGAACTGGGGAAAGATGGTGACATCAGCCTTATTCTCCTAACACCTCCCCCACCCCTGCCTCAATTATTTTTCAGTGCTGGATGCTGAGCCCAGTATCTCACACAACCAGGCTGCAAATTATCCTAACTCTGGGGGTGAGATAAAGTGCCACCAATAGCTACTATAAAGCATATTTTCCCATAAGATACATAATAAAGACCATGAGCTCTTGACCTTTTTCTCTCTTTGATAGCAGAACATTATCCCCTTGCTCCACTAAGAAATAGGTACTGAAAACAAGTTAGTAACACATTATATTTGTGAGATTAGCAAAAATGTTTTAAAATATTAATATGTAAAGCAGGTACGCTTTAATAGTTTAATTTTTTTCTTGTTTATTATTTCAAAAGTTACCTATGTATTTTGCTGTATAGTATGCTGTTTTTAAACATACAAACATATACACACATATACACACATATACACACACTCACACACACATTGTGGACTGGCTGCATTGGGGTAGTTAATATAGGCATTATCCTGCCTGTGGAAAGAACATTTAAAACCTATTTTCTTAGCAATTGTCAAGTTGATAAGATAGTGCATCACCATGAACTACAGCTGGTACCCTTACTTTCCTCACTGAAGTGTCCCCTGTCTCCTGTTCTTGGCCCATGAACTTGGATAAGTGTTGGAGTGGCCAACCCCTGCCTTTTATGGCTTGCCAGCCAATGAGACGCAATACTTGGAATCGAGGATCAGCCTGATTGCAGGAGCCAAGTGCTTTTGTTCAGCTTGTATCACGGGTAAGTGTCTATTATAAATTGTTCTGTAAGCATTGTTTTGCAAATAGTGATGAGCTGAGTAAATTGATGGAAAAACGAACGCTAAGAAAGGCGTGGTTCTCATTTGTAGTACTGATTCTATATATTGTTGACAGTCCATTTTTAATTTTCCTGCGTTGAAATTAAACTTAAAATTATAATGTTTTTATTGTAATAATGATTCATATACCTAATTTTAACCATATTCTCTTCAAGCATGTTTTAGAATCAAATGAGGCTAAATTGGTCCTGTGTGTTGAAACCAGAGTATTAATGAGTGACTGCTGCCCTCTAGTGGATAAATTGGGGTATGGCATAGCAAAGCTTTTTTTTTTTTTCTTTGAAGACCATAGCTTAGGGAACACAGAGGAAGTGGATGCTTCTGCTTTACCATCTGATCTTATAATGATGTACTTTATACATATGTTTATTAAATACTAAGATTATGAGTATGACTACTTGAAAATTAAAGTTTCCTCGCAGCAAAGGGAGCTCTCAGCAGAGAAAATCTGCACAGCCTGGAGAAAGTCTTTACCAACTGCACTTGAAACAAGCAGCAAATATCCAGAACTTACAAAGAATTACAGAAATCAAATGCTAAGGAAATAAAGCTGCAATCAACAAACAGGCTAATGAATTGGACAAACAGTTTTAAAAGGTGAAACACAAACGGCCAATGATCATTTTTAATAGTGTCCCATATCCCTAACCATCAGGGAAATACAAATTCAAACTACTTTAAGATGCCACCTCGCCCCAGCCAGAATGCCTGCATCATGAACTCTAGCAACAAACGAGGCAGAGGATGTGGAGAGAGGGGGGAACCTTTTTCACTGCTGGTCGGAGTGTAAACTAATAACACCATTGTGGAAATCAGTTTGGAGGTTCCTCAAGACAGTACAATTAGTTGGGTGTGGTGGTTCACACCTTTAATCCCTGCACTCGAGAAGCAGAAGCTGGCCTGGTCTATCCAGTGAGCTCCAGGACTGCCAACGCTACAAAGTGAGAACCTGCCTCAAACAAACAAATTAAAGTTAGAACTACCGCATGACCCAGACATTTCACCCCCAGGCATACACCCACCCCCTACCGTAGAGACATTTGCTTTCCTATAGTTATTGTTCCTTTATTCTCTGTAGCAAGAAATGGGACCAACCTAGATGTCCATTAACAGAGGAACGGATAACGAAAATTTAGTATGCAGACAGAAATACTATTCAGCTCCAGAGAAAACTAAAACCACAAAATTTGCAGGAAAATGGATGGACTTAGAATGTACAGTATTAAGCTAGGTCCCACAATCTAAGAAAGGGAAAGACCACATGCTTTCCTTTGTATATGGCTATGAGCCTATAATACACACACACACACACACACACACACACACACACACACACACACACATATATACATGTGGGCATAGTTTGGTGTGTGGAAAGGAGAACAAGATATGTAAATATTACATGACAAGAAAGGGTAGGATGCAAGTATTGGAATTGTGAATCATGAGAGAAGATAGTAAGCTAATTAATTTTCTAATTTTAGCTGTTACGGATTAGTTTTCTTGAGGTGGATAAATGCAAAAAAAATGAAATTGACAATGAAAGCATAAAATCCACAGTGAATCTCCATGGTTTCAGAATGGATATTCTAACTCTATAGAAGTGCATTGAGGTGCGTAGACTGGATCTGACTGATCTCAAGGCGTGGTGATTTTTATTTGCAAGTTCTTTACAGTAATAAAGTTTTAACTTATTATTATAAAAACGTTAAAATATAAATAATTATGTAAAATCTTTGAGTAAGCAAAGTGCAAGAAAATGGCCAATCAACAAGTCCAGAAAAAAGTGTCCATGTTTCATTAGCAATAAAAAAGTCTTAAGAAAAAAGCTACACTTTAAAAACCTTTTCACATTAAAATATTTATTCATTATGATTATGTGACGTCATGAAAGTATCCCTTGACTCCCAGAAGACTGAACTTTTCCCAGACTCACAGCAAATTAACGATGATGACTCTTGAGCTCATTTAACAGCCTGGACTGGAGAGCCAGCTCGGCGGCCAAGAACCTGTACTGATTGCTTTTGCAGAGGACCTGAGTTCAGTTCCTAGCACCTGCATCAGGCGGCTCACAGTGACCTGAAACTCCACTTCCACGGACTACATCACTGGGCACCTTCATGGGCACCTGCACTCATGTGTTCCAAGTTCCACACAAACACACACACACAATTAAAATAAAATTTATTAAAGACTGTGTACTTAACACTCTGTTTTATTGTGTACTCAGCTTGTGTAAGTTTAACTCGCCTTTAGGAGAACATTTCAATCCACCGGGTTTGCCTTGGATTTCCCATGTAATGATCTTTTTCAACCTAAGCTAAATACATAGCTTTAACCTTAAGTCATGTCTTCATTCATGCTCTGTCCCAGAGTAACGCACGTGCGGTGGTAATCACTTGTTGAATGCAGTTCACAGGTTGGAAGCCACCTCATAAAATAAGCAGCAGCCGCAAATGTTGCAAAGGACATGGGTGTGTTGTTAGTTGCTTTTATACTCTTTGCTATTTTGGGGGAGCCCACCACCAAGCTCCCAAACAAATACACACAGAGACTTATTCTTTCTTATAAATGCCTGACCTTAGCTTAGCCTGTTTCTAGCCGGGTTTCCTTAAATTATCCCATCTACATTTTGCCTCTGGGCTTTTACCTTTCTCTATTTCTGTATATCTTACTTTCAATCTTACTCTATGGCTGGCCCCTAGTATCATCCTCTCCTTTTTCTCTTGCTCCTGGATCTTCCTTTCTTTCCTTTTCTCCTTCTATTTATTCCCTCTGCCAGCCAGCCCCCCTTATCCTTTGTCCTGCTTGGCTATTGGCCGTTCAGCTCTTTATTAGACCCATCAGGTGTTTTAGGCAGGCCAGGTTAGCACAGCTTCACAGAGTTAAACACATGCAGCATGGAGGAACGCAACACATCTTTGCATTATTAAAGCAAATGTTCCACAGCAGAAACAAAAGTAACACAACTTAAAACAATATTCCACAAGACACGGGGACACAGCTTGATAACATGTTTGCTACTCGGTGTCAGTTTTGGGTCAGTAAAATGGTTTCTTTCCTTGTGAACCCTGTGACAGAACACTTACCTTCCCTCATCCCTTTCCTAGCCATGCTTTCTGTACTGTTGAATCAACACAGAGTGAAGTCCTTTGTTATGGACAGCAGCAGGGACAGAAAGACAAATGCAACTAGACAGATACACAGAGACAGCCAGACAACAGACAGAACAGAACAATGACACATAGCCCAGCAACCACACGCTACAGATAGAAGACATAGGGAGAGTATTCAAATAGTATTCAAATCTGAGCACACTCAGTAATCTAAAGTGACCTGAGAGAAGTCTGCTGTCGCTCCTTGTTGTGAGTCGATGCCTTCTGGTGCCTTTGAGGTCATCTTATATTCTGGGCTGTGAGTCTAGTCTTTAATGACGGAACCATCTCTCCAGCCCTGAGGCTATCTTTAATGCATTAGTTGATATCATTTATTGTTGTTTGTTGGTGGTGGTGTATGTATGTGTACCCGCAGCATGCCCATGTGTGCAACACACATGTATACATGGTGTTCATGTGAAGGCCAGAGGACAACTTTGTGGAGTTGGCTTTCTCCTTTTACCTTGAACTCAGTTCATTGGACTCACACAGGGCTTACGTTCTGTGCTATCTCGCTGGCCTTAATATATATAATTAATTTTTTTTTAAGACAAGTTTTCTCTGTGTAACAGTCCTTGCTGTCCTGGAACTTGCTTTGTAGACCAGGCTGGCCACGAACTCATTGAGATTCCAAGTGTTGGGATTAAAGGCATGCGCCACCACTGCACGGCTTAAAAACTACAATTTTTATAGCTATCAAACTGATTAAAGTCTCAGAATAAGGTGAATGTCTGAGCAAAAGGACTTTTATGTTGTTGGTAAGGACAAAATGGCATTGAATTCTCAACTCTGTGTGTGTGTGTGTGTGTGTGCAGAAGTGTTCCTAAGTTACATGGAAGATTTAAGGTCTATTCTCTCTCCCCCCTACCACTTTTCTTTCTCATTCCCCTTCCTCCCTCCCTCTCATCTTCCTCCCTGCCTCTCTCCCTCCTCTCTCTCAGTGAGAAGAGGCACAAACCGCTCAGCTTCACAGAAGGACCTACATTCTCAAATGTTAAGAACAACATATTATTTAAATTATTTTTGGACGGTCAACGGTGTCCACATTTCAAAGGTATTTTGAATACTTAACAATGACAAATTGCCCAAAGGCTCAGCAATAGAAGATTTGAAATAAACCACTTCTCAGCCCTTGGGATAGAATCTCTAGCTATTAACAATTGTGCCGTAGACCTAACAATGTGGAAACACTGAGAACAGACGAGCTAGAAACAGCTCCTTATATACAACCTTTCCGACCCGACTTTACTGAAACATAAACCATGTGCACAGGAGGCCATCTGAGCCTGTGTCTGCTTGATAAATCGAAACGCTAGAGCTATTCATAGGCAACGAACTGGAGTGCTCGCCTTTATTTCTCCAAGAATCTTTCAGTGCTACTTTCGAAATAAAAATATAGCAAGTATTCTAGAAAAAGAATGATTCCTTTCCCCCCCCTCTGTTAAAGTATTGGACATAGGAGCTTCCGTAACTCTTGCAGAACCCACTGAGCTGAGTAGGTACCAATCTGTGGGAGTCTGAAAGAGCTAGGGCAATCATCTCGCGGTAACCTGCAAGCTGCTTCCATTCGCCTTTCTAAACATTGCAAAGACACTGAGAAATCTGTAATTTTTCCAAGCAAATATAAAAAATACGTGCTGTTCAGCACTTACAAGCTGCCAGGCCAGTGTAATGCCCTAAGTTATAACTAGCGTAACAGGCAAAGAAGAGTCTAGAAAGAGCG